AGTCCTCGAGCTACCTCCGAGTTAGTTCCGAGTTAGCCAGCAACTAGTCAGTTGTATTCTGGCATTTGGAGTGTACTATTTGTGATACTGCAGATAGCAGTAATCGTAAATCTGTAATTTGGGTGATTGTAAGTGCGAATGTGAAATAAAATTCTCTATATAAAATACAACAAGAAGTTATTTGTCGCGTTATACGCCCAATATGCAACAACTGGTGTCAGAAGTGGGACTTACACACGTGACCAACGAGATTCGAACTCAAGACAAGTGACAATTTGGTGTCAGAATTTTTACAAATAATTGGATTATTGTGCATCGAGTATTTGACCGCTACAAAATGGAGAAGCAAGGTCTTCAACTAATAATCGAAATGTTGGTGAAGGCAGAGGACAATAGAAAAATCGAGAAGGAAGAGAGGGAGGAAAGTAGGAGGAAAGAGAAGGAAGAAAGGAAGGCGGGGAAGGAAGAAATGCTGAAAGAGATGAGGGCCTGGCGAGAAAAAGCAGATGCCGACCGAGTGAGGATGGAAGACAGAATGGAAGCCAACCGAAAAAAAAGCCAGAGAAGATTTCCTGGCCAAATTAGATGCCTGTCAAGAAGAGGCGGAGATCAGCCACAAGGAACTCCTAGCCAGAATGGACGCGGACTCGAAAGCCTGGCGAGAAGAAATGGCCGCCTGGCAAGAAAAGACTTCCGCGGAGACNGAAACCTGAGGCGGAACAACAAGAAGAGGTCCCTGTAGACGATGTCGCAGTGATACCGGTCAGTGACCATGAAGATGAATTGATGCCGATTACCCAAAAGGAGACGGTGGCCTGCCCAGTGGACACGAAACCTGCGGCGGCACAACAAGAAGAGGTCCCCATTGCAATACCGGTCGGAGTGAAGATGGACTGCCGAGAAACAGAGGTACGTCCAGAAGATGAAAAGCCGGCTTCAGTGCACAGGAAACCTGAGGCGGCAGAACTACTAGAGGTACCCGTACAAGACGCCGAAGTAATGCCGGTCGGAGAACCGAAGAAGAAAAGGAGCAGGGACCGAAATCGACGAAATAAGAAGAATCCAACACAGGAAAATTGCGGACCCCAGAATAAGTTGGCCGCCGCCTGCAGGAAGGTGTCCCGCCGCGCAACAGTGGCATGGCGCAAGAGGAACATCTTCAGGAAATCTGGGACCCGAGGAGATCATGCGTCCCGGATGAAGTTGGCTGCCATCTGCAGGAAGATATCCCGTCGCGCGACAGTGGCACGACGTTGGAGAAATGACTTCAAGAAGGAAACTCCCCAGGGAACCTTCAGATATCGGAGAAAGGACTTGGAGCCACGGTCTCGTACCAGCCAGCGGCTGGAAGACCAGGAGGAACAACGACGTCAGCGAGTGTAAACAACGCATCAAGAGCTGTTACGTCGACATAAGGAACCTCCGAAGAAAGAAATGGACACTGGACACTGTGGAAGTGTCGACCGCCTCCAAAACGGAAAAGAAGACTTCAAACAGAGGAGGAACCGGTAATGTAGAAGAACCGGCCTCCCCAGAGCAAGAGTGAATGTGCCATAGAACGAAAGTGAGGGATGAATGGGACACAACTGGATCTTCTGGCGAGCTGAAAGGAAACCGCTCGAGACGAG